ACCTTTCACATCTCACATGTAACAATTCTGAAAAGATTCTGTAATATATCATATAAGATGTTTTAATAGAAATGTCTCTAAAAAAAAGTTATTATATGCAATAAATTAAAAAATACATTTTACAAAACAAAAAATCATCATGATGTTAAAATGGCTCCCAAATGTTTACTAAAAGTCATTTTTTTATCAGTTATTCAATTTAATGTCATTTTGATATTATCGTAAGTTGTTCTTTGCATAAATCTAAATTACGAAAAACTTTTGTATATGAATAATGGTATTAAGTGGAAGGTGTAAGTGATTTTTTCATAGTGATTATATATATGTACTTATATATATAATATGATTAATTAATCAAAATAGTTCGCAGTAATCTATAAATAGATCACAAAATTCTTAATAAATTTTAAGTGCTTCAAAAAAAGATGATATTTAAATATATGTTTAATTGATACTTAAATAATATTTTAATTTATTATGTTGACATAATAAATTTAAGTATACTTAAATAATGCGTATTTGCACGAATTGCATGCTTATTAAAATTGGAACGCTGTTGGTAGCATATTTTTATGACGATATACCTACAGCGTTGGCAATCAATTTTGGAATACAACTCATGAAATTGTAGCAGCCGCAACAAGAAATGACGACAAAATTAATGACGTCTTTGCTCTCTTACAGCACTGCCACAGCGTGCTATGATTTTTAGAAACAGTGTTGACAGTGCTGCCAGCGCTGATAAATAATTTCGGATCACAGCCTTTAACTTTTAAACTGCTTTTTCACGCTTGACGCTCATTTTTAGCGTCAAACAGATCACGTGATCAAAATTGGCTGCGTTTAACAGAACACAACAGTTTTGCAACCGTTTTATGATTATCTGCTGAAATAGGACCATTTCTCTTGATCTAAAAGTATAACCCAATGAAACACAAAGAAAACTTCCAACAGTTGTAAAATAACCGTTCTGCTGAACGCAACCATTGATGCTTGGTATTTATCAATTTTGATCACATGATCGATTGTAGATTTTGAAAGGAGGTAAAAAAAGTGAGCAAAGGTTACTAGGGAATCAATTCTAGGGATCGATTCTGTATCTTGAAATAAGATGAAAATTATAAAAATGAACGAATTTACTAGAATACTGATCATTTCATTGGTCAATACCTAGTAAATTTGTTCACTTTTGTAATTTTCACTTTCTTTAAAGATACAGAATCGACCTCCTCATTTCAAGATACAGGGAGTCAATTCTGTATCTTCAAAGAAGATAAAACTTACAAAAGTAAGCAAATTCACTAGGTGTTGACCAATGAAATTATTAGTATTCTAGTAAATTCGCTCACTTTTGTAATTTTCACCTTGGAATCGATTCTGTATCTTAAAATAAAATGAAAATTATAAAAGTGAATGAATTTACTAGAATACTGATTATTTTATTGGTCAACACTTAGTAATTTTCACCTCATTTAAAGATACATAATCGACCTCAAATCGAGCGTCAGCATGAAAATGCAGCCTTAGGCGACATGAGCGCCTCCAATCGATGACGACACCCGTAAAAAATCTGACGATCTTGCACAATCCCATCTTGGAATAAGTTGCAATCATATCATTTTCTCATATCTGCTCACTTTCCCTAAGGCTGACAAACTCATTACATATATTAACAGGTCTTATTCACGTACATCTGTAACTCCTAATGATATCTTCCCCCTCCTTAAAAATCCTTCTCCTAAGCTATGCCGTTTTCTTTTATCATTTCTTAAATCAAACAACCTCAACATTTAAAACTCCCCAATCGTACTCGCTTTCACGATCCCTCTGGGAACTTTCGTTTTGCGTATGGAGCATATGTTCCCTCCCTTAACTCATCGACTACTCTATACCACTTGCGAGACTCATCGTTTCCGGCGGCCATTTTCGATTCTGGCCACTCTACTAAGATTCATTGGAATAAGCTGTGTTGTTCGTACTTGTAGTCCCAAAAACAAATTTTGTATAAGTAAAAATGTTGAATGTAAAGATCGTGGGAGCATCCTTGAAATGCAGCTTTAACACGCCGGTCTCTGTGCAAGAATTAAAACAAGAAATTGAGAAAGAAACAGTAAGTGATAGATCTTAAATTATTTTTTAACTTAACCTTAAATTATTTTTTATTCCTTGAAATTCTTACAGCGTTTTCCAATAGGAAAGTTAGTGTAACACTGATGCAATTGAACGTAAGTCGGTTTACATAGTTTGTGTTAATAAAGAATTTAATCTTTTTAAGCTTATGAGATTAACATAATGACAAAGAATTTATTATTAAGGCCCGGTTTTTCATTATCTGATTAACTTGTGGGTAAGCTCGACCTGATGTTTCACACACACATCCAATAAGCTTCATCTATGATATCATAAATGAAGTTTATCGAATAAAATATCAGGTCAACCTAACCACAAGTTAACCAGATAATGAAAAATCAGATCTAAAAGGATTAAATTATTTATTAACATTGAAAACCTGTAAATTGATTTGCATTCATTGCATATTACATTAGTTTTCCTAGTAGAAAACGCTATTAATTTCTTAAAATAATTTGATTCGAGCAGTTGAAATCTCAATGTATAATTTGCATTTAATATTTTAGTTTGTTAATATTTGGTGAAAGTACATTCAATATCTTGTGTAAAAACAAAAATTTTGAAAATAAAAATAGCTGCTTAATGCTCCAAAAATTAATTAAGATTGAAAGATAAAGATAATTAAGATTAATTAAGTATGAAAGATGATATATTTAAAAATTAGAAAATCTATTAAGCCAAAAAGAGCAATATAAATATATGTTACAAAAAAAAATAGTGCATGAAATATGAAATTATAAATAGAAATTAAACTGACAAGAATGAATCAATAAATGTGAGAGAAAGAATCCTATTTTCAAAGTAGATCTTCATGCTCAATAATATATAAATTTTTACTAGTACACTTTTCAGTTCTATAAATTGTGTGCAGATTTAGTTTGTCGGACTTGAATCACAGTTACAAACAAAAGCTAAAATAGCATAATTGTTATTGCACTGTGTACAGAAAGCAAGAGATGATTCAGGATGGATTTTGCTTTACGTGAAAAGTTTAAAGAACTCTGCAATAATAGACCTTATTTTTTATTTTTGCTCTGGACAATATAAAAGATCTAGAAAATTAAAATCCATATAGAATTATAATTATAGATACATTTATTTTATATTAAAAATACTAAGTAATGAGTAACAACAGTAAAACAAGAGATGAGTAACATGTGCAAAGTTGAAAAACTACAATCAGTACAATGATCAGTATTTTCTATGCCAAGCAAAATCCATGATTATATAATTCTACATGAGTTTTCAATTTTCTATACAAAACAAGGTCCCATATTGCCTGATATTTGCAGTACAAAATGTAGTCTATAATTATATAATTTCAGATAAATTTCTAATTTTTTTCATGCTAAATATGATCATATATATCATATATTTTTTAATTTTTAGATATATCATGTG